AGTACTGTATCTAACTGGCAAAGGTCATCATACACACATCTTGTTGACAGTCAACTGAATGCAACAAAGTGCATCAGTACTGGAACTGTCAGCTTAGCATCTTTCCCCTGGCTTCCTGGGCTCACTAACATCTCTCCCCCACACGTCCGCTTGGTAACAGAAGAAAACACACAAACCGGTTGAAACCATTTGTGTTGCACATCACTTACGCTCTTCACAATGACCTGTTCAATTCTATCTTCCATCTCAGCAACTTTCCCAAGCAAGACCTACAGGGAAGACATTCTTTGCTTCAAGGAATGGGAAACATGCAAAGTCACTAACAAGTTCTTTGTGACGAGTCCCTGTCTGTTGCATGGCAGGTTTTGAACTACTACAGCAAGAGTGGCCCTAGCTAAACAGCTTCAAATCAGGGTCCCTGCACAGTCACCCTCTACCACTGGGTCCTCAATACAAATTCCTTATGCACTTGTGAAAAGACACAAACAATGGTGCACATTACTGCGAATGTCCCCTCTACATACCAAGTGGCAGACTAGTCATCATGGGCAAATGAAGAGGCAATTACTTGGCTTTAGGCATTTGCATTCATTAATCGAATCAGTAAGTACATTGTTGTTTGTGGGATCCTGCAGTATAACAATTAGCTGCTACCTTTCCTCTGTTGCAGCAATGATTATACTTCCAATTACGTCATTGGTTGTAATCCAGAGATGGTGAAAAGCACTATATAAATACAAGGTTACATTTTACAACCAAGTTGAATATAGAAAGGGAGACATGAAAAGGGAAATAAAAGAGGCAAAGAAAGAATATGACAAAAGATCAGCAGCTGACATAATAGGAAATGGAAAAATCTCTTCCAAACACACAAAGAGTAGCAGGCAATTCAAGGGAAGGGTGACAAAAACAAACTTTGTGGAAGTAGAGACCCTGGTTGAGGTACTAATGAGAACTTCACAGCTGTCTTCACTAATGAACAGAAAGTGACCAATGTCACTACTGTATAAAGGTAAAGATAGGAGAGCAACTAAAGAAGATTTAAAAAGGGTACCTAAGAGATCAGCAGCACTCAACATCACCTAATTCACATGGAATGCATCGTTGATTCTCCAAATTTGATCCACCATCTAGAGCACAAGTTGGGAATGTGATGGAATATTCTTTACTTGCCTGGATGGGTTCAGCTCCAAAAATACTCAAGCTTGACACCATCCAGGACAAAGCACCTCGCTTGACTCACACCACATCCTCAAACATTCAATCCTCATCCCCAATGGGGGGAGACGATGGCCCAGTGGTATTATCGCTGGACTGTTAATCCAGAGACCCAGATAACGTTCTGGGGACCGAGGTTTGAATCCTGCCATGGCAGATGGTGGAATTTGAATTCAATAAATATCCGGAATTAGGAATTCAATGATGACCGTGGATCCATTGTCGATTGTTGGAAAAACCCACCTGGTTCACTAATATCCTTTAGGGAAGGAACCTGCCATCCTTATCTGGTCTGGCCTACACATGACTCCAGACCCACAGCAATGTGGGTGACCCTTAACTGCCCTCTGAGCAATTAGGTATGGGCAATAAGTGCTGTTCTAGCTAGCGACGCTCTCATCCCGTGAATGAATAAAGAAAAAACCCACCAGCACTCAGTAGCAGCAGTGTGTACCATCTACAAGATGCATTGCAGAAATTCACCAAGGCTCTTTAGTCAGTATCGTCCAAACCCACAACCAATATTTTCTGGAAGAACAAGGACTGCAGATGCATGGGAAGACCACCAGCTGCAAGTTCTCCTCCGAATCATTCACCATCCAGACTTGGACATATACCAACTTCAGTATCATGGGGTCAAAAACCTGAAATTCCCTCCCTTACAGCACTGGATCACAGGAATTCAAGAAGGCAGCTCACCACCAACCTTAGGGATTGGCGAATAATGCTGCCACAGTTGGCTAAGCCCACATCCCCTGAATGCATAGAAAGAAATAAACCACAGGAGGACACTGACAATAGGAATGTGTGGACACATGGATAGTGAAATTTAAAGCAGTGGATTGAAATGTTTTGGAAGGAAAATGACATGAGGTAATGTGAACGAAATGGTTCCACGCTAAAAGCAATGAATGAACAGAGACCTACATGTGTACATAAACAAATCCTTGCAGGTGACAGGACAGGCTGAGCAGGCTGTTAAGACAGCCTATGGGATCTGAGGAGCAGAATATGAAAGGAAGGAAGTTATATTACATCATTATAAGTCACCAGTCAGCTGGAGCATTGTGGGACAACAAGGTGCAGGGCTGGATGAACACAGGAGCATTGTGTTCAATTCTGGGCAATTAACTTCAGGAAAGATAACAAGGCTTTGGAGCTGGTGCAAAGGGGAACCAGAGACTTCAGTCAAATGGAGAAACTGGGGAAACAAAGAATGTTCTGCTTAGTGCCATGCAAGTTAAAGATCAGTTTCACAGAAGTATTCAAAGTCTTTAATGATATTTTTATACTGATTAAGGAGAAACTGTTTCTGGTCACAGAATGATCAATAAACCAGAGAGCACGGAGTTAAGAGATTTAGGGAAAGAGTCAGGGGCTGCGTGAGGGAAACAAACACTGAGCGGTGAATTGTCGTGATCTGGAATGTGGTGCCTGATAAGGCAGCCCAGGTAGGTTCAGCAAAGGGATTTGAGTAAACGCTGGCAGGGAAATCAACTGCAAGGCTGTGAGGAAGGAGCATGGGTGCTGGATAAACCGAGCTGCATTTCAAAGAATAGCATGAATATGGTGAGCTGCTGAATGGCCTCCTTTTGCGTTGTAAAGACCTAGGGTTACCACCTCAGTAAGTGAAGTCCTTTACCTTGAAGATTGAAATGCATTTTTCAACCTGTGCTAATGATAAACGCAGGACTATTTGTGATTCCCCCGCATTATGGACACACATCCAGTTAAATGCATGCATTTACATCCAACAGTATCAACACCTCCAACGCAACGCTGCTGCTTTCAGTCTAACCCAAAGGCTGCATTCTAAAACCGCTCGAGTTTGTAAAATCATGCCAATGTGAATTTTCTTCCCCTGAATGTCATTTCTGACCTCTCGATTGGTCAGTGCGAGTCTAAACGTTTTTCTCTTTCTCTCGCTTTCTCTGCACGTTTGACCAAACCGAAGATGTAGGTCAGGAATAGCGAGCAATAGTTTCAGATCTGAGGGGAATGAATGAATGAATGCGCCGAGTGTGCATTAGTTCGCGCTGAATGTGACAGAAGTTGGGCTCTCAGTCTATTAATAGCCTCCTCGTCCCAAATTGAAGCAGCAGTTTTTGCAAAGAAGCCAGGATCTCAAGAGAGAGAAAGGGAGAGAGCGAGAGGCTGAACTGGAGACTCACTGATACTGCGTGTTTCCCTCCGGATTATTCATGAGATAAATAAATCAATCACTCCCACTTCTCCCGACACAAAACCCCTC